GTCAGTCCATCCCCAGTTCATCCTGGTGCTTGTGCAATGTCACTTAATGATGAGAGGATTTTGCAGGTTGAAACTAATTGTACTAAGCACATCCATCTTCTACCATGAAGTTTCAAATGTGATGAAGAAACAAAGTACAAGTCATTTTCCCATCATTAGCATACTCACTCTGAGCTCTTTCATTTATTTTGTTTCCTTCTTATTTTTCATTCCTTTCTACTGGCCTGAATATTGAAAATTTTTCCACACTGTGAGTAGGGCAAGTCTTGGCGAAACATGATTTTTATTGCTGCTGTCTTTCTAGGACATCGCCAGCATATGCTTATGGCTCTGGAGAAGCAAAGGCAGCTGAAGAGTAATGTTTCTGGCCTTGGTTCTTATTAAACGTGATCAGTAACTTGGGTCAACTGGGTAGCTTTTGCCTGACAGCTTATAATACTCCTGGAAAAGGAGCTTATTTGCATTAAAAGGCCTCTCCTTGCCTGTGATAGGAGTTATAGTAAGCCTGTTTCACTACCTGGTACTGAGCGATCTTGGAAAGAACAGAGGTAGATTGTGAGTGATGGCCTGGACTTCTCTTTTGATCACACTCCTGGCTCACTGCACAGGTCAGGAGGGCCATCTGGGCTGCTGTGAGAATGTAACTGTGCACAGCTTGTCTCTGCTTTGCTGCTGACCACTGGATTTCTCTCCTGTTTACAGGAGCCATGTCCCAGGCTGTTGTGACTCAGGAATCTTCAATCACCACATCTCCTGGAGGGACAGTCACACTCACCTGTGGCTCAAGTACAGGGGCTGTTACCACCAGTAACTATGCCAACTGGGTTCAACAGAAACCTTACCAGCTACCCACAGGTCTTATAGGTGGTACCAGCAACCGAGGTCCTGGTGTGCCTGCCCGATTCTCAGGCTCCCTGCTTGGAGACAAGGCTGCCCTCACCATCACAGGGGCCCAGCCTGAGGATGAGGCTGTGTATTACTGTGCTCTGTGGTTCAGCAACCACTTCCACAGTGGCACATGCAGATGGGGAAGTAGAACACAAACACCTTGGTACAGCCTCATGACTGTCTTCTTATCATGTGGCTATATCTCCATAGGCTCAGAGTGCCTGCTCTCTGTTACTATAGAGAACTTCATAAAAGCTACTGACATTGATCTTAAAGTCCTTGCTAGAGCAATAAGACAATTGAAGGAGATCAAGGGGATACAAATTGGAAAGGAAGAACTCAAAGTATCGCTATTTGCAGATGATATGATAGTATACCCGAGTGACCTCAAAAACTCTACCAGGTAACTCCTACAGCTGATTAACACCTTCAGCAAAGTGGCAGGATACAAAATTAACTCAAAAAATCAGTAGTCCTCCTGTATACAAAAGACAAAAGGGCCTTCACGATAGTCACAAAGGACATAAAGTACCCTGGAGTGAACCGAACCAAACAAGTCAAAGACTTGTATGAAAAAAAATTTCCAGTCTCTGAAGAAAGAATTAGAAGAAGATATCAAAAAATTGAAAGATATCCCATGCTCATGACTTGGCAGGATTAATATAGTAAAAATGGCCATCTTACCAAAAGGAATCTATAGCTTCAATGCAATTCCCATCAAATTACCAACACAATTCTTTACAGACCTTAAAAGAAAAATTCTCACCTTCATATGGAACAAGAAACCCAGAATTGCTAAAACAATTCTCTACAGTAAAAGATTTTCAGGAGGTACCTCCATCTCTGATCTCACGCTGTACTATAGAGCTACAATACTAAAAACTGCATGATACTGGCAGAAAAACAGACTGGTAGATAAATGGAATTGAATAGAAGACCCTGACCTAAATCCACACACTTATGGACAGCTGAATTTTGACAAACATGCCAAAACCATTCAATGGAAAGAAGACAGCCTCTTCAACAAATGGTGCTGGTCTGAATGGATGTCTACATGTAGAAAAATGCAAATAGATCCATACTTATCACCCTGCACAAAACTAAAGTCCCAGTGGATCAAAGACCTCAACATAAAACCAGACACACTAAACCGCTTAGAAGAAAAAGTGGGGAAGAGCCTTGAACTCATTGGCACAGGAGACAACTTCCTGAGCAGAATACAAACGGCACAGGCTCTAAGAGCAACAATCAATAAATGGGACCTCATGAAACTGAAAAGTGTCTGTAAAACAAAGGACACTGTCGTCAGAAAAAAACAACAGCCTACAAATTGGGAAAGGATCTTCACCAACCCTATATCTGACAGAGGACTAATATCCAGTATATATAAAAAACTAAAGAAGTTAAACAGCAAAAAATCAAGTAATCCAATTAAAAAAAATGGAGTATAGAGCTAAACAGAGAATTCTCAATAGAGGAATGGAAGTGAAACACTTAAAGAAATGCTCAGCCTCATTAGTCATCAGAAAAATGCAAATAAAAACAACCATAAGATTTCACCTTACACTCACCAGAATGGCTAACATCAAAAACTCAAGAAACAACACATGCTGGAGAGGTTGTGGAGAAAGGGGAACCCTCCTCCACTGCTGGTGGGAATGTAAATTTGTACAACCACTCTGGAAATCAATCTGGCGCTTTCTCAGACAACTAGGAATAGAGCTTCCTCAAGATCCAGCTATACCATTCCTAGGCATATACCCAAAAGAGTCTCAAGTACACAATAAGGACATTTGCTCAACCATATTTGTAGTAGTTTTATTTGTAATAGCCAGAAACAGCCCAGATGCCACTCAGTGGAGGAATGGATGCATTAATTGTGGTATATCTATACAATGGAATATTACTGAGCAATAAAAAACAAGGGAATCATAAAATTTGCAGGTGAATGGTGGGATCTGGAAAAGATCATCAACAGTGAGCCATCCCAGATGCAGAAAGATGCACATGGTATATACTCATTCATATAGACATATAATATAGGATAAACCTACTAAAATCTGTACACCTAAAGAAACTAATCAAGAGGGAGGCAAAAAGATTTTAAGAGCCAGAACAGGAAGTGTACTCTCAGATTTTGTCTTTTACTGATATCTGATGCTAGACCCATAAAGTCTCACCAACATGATTGCCAAGACATGATTAGAACACGAGGGATCATGCCAATGAACACCAATGAGCATGCCAAGATGAACAAAGAGAATCTCACAAACCCTCAACCTACACAAACAACAGCAAGCCATTAAGGAGTGCTGGGAGTTGGAAAGATGGTCTTCCAACACCAGCTGGTTGCCAAGTGGAGAGTTCTTAGCCATGATAACACATTAAAAAGTAAGATTATATGGAGTCAATGTTTATATTTAAGAATATACATGTACAGGAGGCTTGGAGTGAAGAAAGGAAACAGAGAAATGTTGTGATTGTGATTGAATGATAACATCAAAAAGGGGAAAAAAAATCAGTCCTCAAAGAAGAAACAATTCAGGGCTTTAATTCTTAAAGAAATAGAGGAGACAGTTAGTTGATCCTTTACTCAGGCTGGTGCTGGCAGAGTTTAAGTTTCAGATAGAGCTCAGTAACTCCCTGGATCTAAGAAAAGCAAACAAGCATACAAAAGGCAGTGAGCCTGAGCCTTTTATAGCATAGAGACAAGACATATAAACAAGAAGGATGCAAAAAAAAAAAAAAAAGTTAAAACTTCTGTGAACTGTTTGCCTTGCCCTGTCATGAAGAAAATTAAAATCACTGTGTGGCGAATAAAATCCTACTGTTCAATAATAGGACTTACAGAATCTGTGTGATGACCAGTTTTTGCTTTTCACTTAAGGTTGGGAAACATTGCAGTTTACCTGTCATCAAAATAGTGAAGTTGTTTTTCAATTAATTCAAAATAAATTAGCCCAGCTGACAAGAACACAACATAATTTTACAGCAGAGTTAAAGATATGGTG